CCTGCGGGCCCGACAGGGCTCCTCCCCGCTCCCTTCGGCGCACGGAGACCTTTAGAGCAGCTGCCTGCTCTGTCTCACCCAGGCTGGAACATATAAAAGCTGTTAGCAGCCTCTGGGGCCAGAAGCTTCCAAACCAGCAGAGTTTTGTTCTTTGGTAATAAGAAACAGTCCTTCACCAAGGTTCCTATCATCATTTAGGAGAGTGCTATATATACTGGGAGAACAATAGACTGTATTTTTTTTTTTCTTGGTACTATCCAGAGGTAAGCAATTCAGTTCAGTAAGTTTGCTTTGCATGCAGTTTTGTCAATGCTCATCACACTTTACTGAGGTTAAGATTTGAATGCTGTTTCTAAGATGTCCTGCTTTCATGCTTTATATGTTGTTTTTTTGCCAACTAGTTTATCTGTGCCACATCATGTCGAAGCAATCCATACATAGGGGATAGCCGTAGCCTAGGATGTATTTTTCATTTTCAATGGAAAACATGCTGTGAGGTTTCTTGCAGTCTTCCCTTTAAGATTTATAGTGTGGTTTATGGACTGATCTGGTATGATAGCACTGTCACTATTTCAGGAATACTACTAGCTCTGATCATGCAACTCATGGTATAATGATACTTCATTTGGTGTGTTTGTAGTAAGAACATATTATCACTTAATATTGTTATTGAAAATTGCTTAGTAATGTGTTCTGACAGTGTTGTTTTTATGATTGAGCCGACAGACAGAATCATTTTTCTGATCACAGCCTGCCAGTTGACTTTGTCTTGCTACCCAGGTGTACAGAATCATATCTTTGTCATCTTCTCTTCTACAGATCTGTTTTCTGCTGTCCTGACTTAAAGCAGAGTACCTCTGTGGCCTGTCTTTCTCCTTTGGCCCCAAAATGACAGTAATCACTGCAATCAGTTGTGCTTTCTTACTTTCCATTCTCTGTGAAACAAGTGCATTAGTGTTACCCAACTCCACCGACCTACTCCTGTCAGACAATAATTTCACTGACATTGAGACGGCTTTGGCAGCTCATCTGGACTCTGCAAAAATTCCCAAAGCCAGGCGGAAGCGCTACATTTCGCAGAATGACATGATTGCCATTCTTGATTATCATAATCAAGTCAGAGGTAAAGTCTTCCCACCTGCTTCCAACATGGAATATATGGTAAGTGAACTCTGTTTATTTCTGAGTAAAAAGAAACTGCAAGTCAGTGACTTCATTTTCTTAAACAAATTGTGGGAGTTTAGTTAAGTACATAAATGATTTTTAACAGCTTATTAAAATGTTCTTTCCTTCCACTTTTTAAGTTGCAGTCATTTAAGCCAACAAAAGCTAGACACTGAACTCTGAACATTTTACTTGCCCTGTTGAACTTTCATTTCTGTGAGTAGTCCCAGTGAAGCTGCTGGTACCCAAGTAGATGAAGTTGTGGGTTAACTGCTTGTTGGCCTGAGGAATAGTATGTGAGCACATGTTGTGATCACATGTGTTTAAAGCGCTCATCGTTAGTAGCCCTATTGCTTTTGTGGAGTACGCTGAAAGTCATTGCCCTGTTGTATGCAAAAACGCAGCCTATGACCGCTTCTAATTTTTCACACGTAATACTTTCGGAGACAATATGGTAAACCTGTGTTTGCAAAGTAGTTAATCTGATGCAGTCTCATGCTTATGTGTTTTTCTTACTGCATGTTGTTTGTGTGCACCAAATACTTTTATTTTTCCATAAAATACAGTGGCGCTTTTAAATGTTTCTCTAGTATGTAGGATTTCAGTGTGCTCAAAATGTTATGTTTGTGTCAGGCACCTTTTCCTCTTATTGGCAAATACTCATTATGTGAATTATCTGTTCCTGCAGGTATGATAGAAGTTACTCATTCACTGTGATTTCATACTTGGCACTACTATCTAAAGCAGCGTGTTTGCTATTTTGTGTTCCAACTTTGAATACGTACATACTGTGGAGTTCTAATGTTACACATAGGCTGGCCAAGCAAAAAATTTTTTATCTTCCAAGTAAGGTATTCACACTATTTTGAAAGAACAGACAAGTTGTGTCAGCACTGTAATACCTGCTTAAAGTCAGAGTTTCGCATATGACAACAGACAGTTAACAGGTTTGAGAAACAGGACACCATCAGCTTGACATAAAAAGGGGATAATAGTAATAACAACTCCTCCTTTTTGGCAGCTAATGGCTAACAATTTGGACATCTCTCTATCACAGATGTTACCTAAATCTGGATTTGATCATATAATCTGCTTAGCACATCCCAACAGCAACTCAGAATGCTGAATGCACTCAAAACATTGCAGGATGAAGGCCTGTCGCCCATACCATAGGCTGAGTTTGAAGTTTGGTTAAGTGGAAAGGTCAGAGGCAGCAAAAACAGAGAGGTCAGAAGTCAAGCTCAGTCATCATTTTCATTGCTCTGCTCTCCACTGACGTTTCCTTTGATTCTGCATAAATAAACTTAGTTGTAATGTCTGAGGGAATGGCAGCCTACCATGCCCTTCCTTGGCTTGTGTGTTTTAGAAATGTGCTCCTGAAGTTTGCTTAAGTGAAGCCAGCACCCTTCATATTCCCAGGAGTTTTGTGAGTGCAGTGTTCTTCGCCTGTTCAGTAAAAATACTTGAAAAGAGAAAGCAAGCTTCCTTGATTAAGGTCTCTTTTAATGCACTCATATGCACAAACTGCCAAGATTTTGCCTGTATTGGTTGGGTATTCTGCTGCAGCTTTGCTCTGCAATGGTACTGTGCAAACCTGAAGAGGTGGGCCTGTGCGAACCTCATGAAGTTTAACAAGGCCAAGTGCAAGGTCCCACATCTGGGTCAGGGCAGCCCCCAGCACAGATACAGGCTGGGTGATGAGTGGACTGAGGGTAGCCCTGGGGAGAAGGACTTGGTGGATGAAAGACTGAATATGACCCAGCAATGTGCTCTCACAGCCCAGAAGGCCAATCGCATCCTGGGCTGCCTCAAGAGTAGTGTGGCCAGCAGGATGAGGGAGGGGATTCTCCTGCTCTGCTCTGCTCTGGTGAGACCCCACCTGCAGTGCTGTGTCCAGCTCTGGGGCCCTCAGCACAAGAAAGGCATGGACCTGTTTGAGTGAGTCCAGAGGAGGGTCACAAAGATGATCAGGGGCTGGAGCACCTCCCATGTGAGGACAGGCTGAGAGAGGTGGGGTTGGTCAGCCTGGAGCAGAGGAGGCTCTTGGTAGACCTTATAGCGGCCTTCCAGTGCTTAAAGGAGGCTACAGGAAAGGTGGGGAGGGACTTTTTACTGGGGAGTGTAGTGATAGAACAAGAGGTAATGGTTTCAAATGGAAAGAGGGGAGATTTAGATGAGATCTTAGGAAGAAGTTCTTTACTGTGAGGGTGGTGAGACAGTGGAACAGGTTGCCCAGAGAAGTTGTGCCTGCACCCTCTCTGGCAGTGTTCAAGGCCAGGCTGGACGGGGCTTGGAGCAACCTGGTCTAGTGGAAGGTGTCCCTGCCCATGGCAGGAGGGGCTGGAACTAGATGGTCTTCAAGGTCCTTTCCAACCCAAACCATTCTATGAGTCTGTGATTGCTGATGCCTTCAACTGGCAGTTTTTCTGCAAGTACAAATCTAGAGTCAGTGCATATGTGAAGTAAAGTGAAAGGAAACAAGAACTTTCAGACCTATAATGTAGGAGTAATGACCTTTTAATTTGGGTCTTCTTATTGCATTCTTCATTCTTACTCATCCTAAGACTATTGTTCTACAGTCTTTGCTTGTGCTGTAAAAGCTGATGCCATACCCGTAGAAAGAAAGATGACACCATACTTTTGACCTGGCAAAGGGTGAAAATCATCTACTTGGCTTTGCATATTTTTTCTGGAGAAAGCAGAAAGATTCCATAAAATTCATGGTTCAGAAAAAGTGAAGTGTAGAATTGCCTGCAACTCCCTAGTGTGAAAGGTATGTAAATCTGCAAATCCAGTGGAAATCTGTGAACAAACAAATCCCTTTCTCTTGAATGCTAATTCTATACTACAGAGGCCTGTATTGCCTTTCTGGAACATTTCAGCTGCTTGGTAGTCCAGTAAAGATTTGCAATAAATTGCCAGCTGAAATTTGAGTCTCAGAAAACATGTCATTTGGTATTGGTACTATATTTAGGCTCCCAAAATATTCATTAATGAAATATCTGTTCCTAGGAGAATCAAATCTTATTTTTACCTTCCCTAGAATCATCCACACTTGAGGCCAGTTTTGTAAAGTCCATATGGTCTTTGTTGTAGTCTGTGTCCTTATGTGCATGCAGAACCTGGTTGAGCAAGTGCTTGCATACAGGCATGCTCTTCACAGTTTTGCACACATCAGGCAGAAGCAGTAACTCAAATAATAGCTGGGCCTTAATGAGCATTGAACACTGTCCTCCATGGCATGCCCATAGGCAAAGTGGGAAAATCTGTTCTAGTTAAGTGTGTTCTAAGGTGATCTGAAGAACTTCTTCAAGAGCCCTACCAAAAGACAAGCTGTAAGTAGTTCACTGCTGGCTCCTGAGCCCAGTACTGATCAATATAGTCATTAGTAGACTGGCAGTACCATGTCTGAAGTATAATAGATGGGGCAGGATTACATACTCAGAAACATGAAGCTGAATATTTGTGGGATGCTGAAGATTTGAAGAGCAGAAAAATGCTCTAGGTAAACTTGAGCCTGCTTATGTACGGAAGATGTCCTGATACAGTTTCAATTCAGTTTTCTTCAATGATTGCATAAGCATGCTTTTATATTTGAGAAAATCTGCCACTCATTGAACATGTCACTTTGTAGGACTCAAAATAGTAAAAGATTCTCAGGCTAGCCTGGAATGAGTTAGTTTGGATACACAGGAGTTGTTTCATGGCAACATAAAGATAGTTTCTCATGAGCTGGTGGCAGAGGAGCTGGAAGGGAATGGAGAATCTCAGCCTATTTATTTCTAGTAAATCTTCGTGAAAGACCATGATACAATGGATAAAGGAGATGAATCGTTGTTCTAAAAGTAAAGTAATTGTGTTCCAAAGGTCCATCCTGTAGTCCTGAGAGGGAGTCCGCATGAGTCATGGGGGAAATCTGAGCACTCTATATGGCCTAGAAGTGACTGTCCTTGCTGAGGTGATGAATTTGGAGACTTTGCTTCTCGTGCATGAAGATCTGCAGACAACTTACAAAGTCAGGTCAAAGAAGCAAGAAAATAGCCCACTTAGTGGTCACAAATGTCAATAACTGCATTAGTATTTCACTTCTGAATTTGAATGTCTTGATAAAATTTTCTTGCTCTCAAGGTGGTCTTAAAAATGCTCTGTGAATATGTAATAGGTGAAGGGAAAGACAAAATGAAAAAAACCCCAAAACCTATTTCAAGTTTTTTGAAGTCCTTTTTAATACCTAAAACCTTTTGTATGGACATGGAAAAAGTGAGTTAATTTGGTTTTCTCTCCAATTCAAAAGCATTTCTGATAAAAAAGCTTCTTGATTTGATTACCTACTTTTTGCTGTTGTCAATGTAACTTCTTACAGACCATTCTAAATCTTAGAGGACATTTTGTTCTTCACTTGTTTGCCCTGGCTCATCTACGTGGCCCCACTGAAATCCTCCATGTCTGTGAGTAAGGATTGCAGGGCTAGTTCCTCAAGATTTATGTCTAACAAGTTGGATAGGATCTCTTAATTCACATAGTTTATCCCTGCCCTGTTGCAGGACTTCCTTCTGCATTAAATACATATGGTTTTCATCTTGTCTACTCCTGAACACATATAGTGATGCTGTCTCAGTCACATCTCTTGGCATATATTTTACTTTTGGAATAGAAATTATTTCCAAATGTCTAACCTAAATATTTCACTCTAAAACTCAGATAATTAATCTTCATATGCACTTTTTAACTGCCCAATAGAATTTCTCTCCTTTTTCATTTCAAACATTACCCCTTACGTATTTACTGACAGCTTTCTTAGCGTTAAGATGCGTGCATGCATATAATGTTTCTTTAATTTCCATGTGTGTCTCTTACAATACTTCTGCATATTGGAGAGAATTACAGTTGCACTCCATTTACAGCTCTTTTGTTAAATCACTGAACAGCAGCCTTAAATGTCAAAGCAGATTAGGCCCATCATTTTAACTATGCATGTTTAAAGACCTGAGTGCCAT